GAACTGCTGCACATGAGTGCGCGTCCCTATTTTCCCCTGCCCGCTCGCGATCCGTGCAGGTGACAAAGGGGCCTGTGGCGCTACGACCCAGGCTGTGACCGAGCTGGGCTTGTATTCCTGGTCCGTGACCCCGCGAGGCTCCTTCCCGTGGACATCCGGGCGGGACCTAGGTGTTCCCGGAGTGACGAGCTTGCAGATCCCGCCTGGGCCTGGGGTTGGCAGATCCGAGAGCGGGCAGTTCTCAAAAGGTGGCACTGAGGGGACATGGGTGGCATACACGCCCATCACGCCTCCAGGCGACTTAGTGATGCTCCGCTTGGCCCCTGGCCTTGGACCACTTAAGTTTGTTATTCATTTGTGAAAGTCCTCCAACCCCAGGGGTCCTGCCGTGGAGGGCAGTCCTTCCTTGGCGGCGTTCTCGGGCCGCGCAGCCTGGCGCACGCGCAGTGGGGCCGACCCCACCTTCGGGCGGGGCGGCCTAGAGGTTGCGGAGCCCTAAGGAGCTTTTGCCCATCGCCCGAGAGCCCCACGGTGTCCCCTCTCTCTGGCTCTTCTACCTTACTAATGAAAGGGCCCGGACCCATCTCTGCCCTCACAAGGACACTGCCTTCTTCCTCATAGCCTGAAAGATGGCAGAGGAAGAATCCTTGCAGCGTGTGCTGCAGCAGGAAATAGGGAACTGTGGGCAGGAGGGAAGGAGGGAGGCGCCCTGTGATGGCCTGCTGCACCTCTTATCAGACAAGGCCATTTCGCAGATCCTGTCAGCCTGTTTCAGGGTGTGGCAGGGTAAGGGCTTCCAGGCCTGCCCTCTCTCCTGGGCTGGTGGTGGGTACCCCTCCTCCAAGACTGCACCATTTTGGAGTTGTAACTCCCTGAAGGCCTGTGTGTATATATGGGTGTGTGTGTTTGGAAAGCTGCTCCGCATCCAGACCATCAGGGTTGTAGGCCAGAATTTCCCGTGGGGTGTGTGGAGGGCGGGCCCAGCCCATTGCCTTCCAGAAATTAAGAGGACAGCCTTCATCCTGGCCTTGCCTGTCAGACCTTTCCAGGCCATGACTCTTGTCCTGATGAATTTGTGATTGGTTAGGACAAATTTGCCTTCTAGGAAGGAAAAGGGAAGTTTAGTTGTCCAGTATTCAGGAAGGTAAACCCTGAGAGCCAGGGTGTCAGCAAGATGACACCACGTGGTTTTTTCCCCCAGGTAGTGTATGTGTCCTCATGATTCTGCTTTGTCATGTCCAGAATCAGAGAGCTTGTGTCCATCATAAACAGGAGTGTACAGGATGCCTACCTCAGTGTAGCTAGCGCACAGGACATCAGGTCCACTGCTATAGAGTGGGCCAACATCTTTGAGTCCTCAGGCAGTATGGTCTTTGGAAGAATGATAGCCGTGGACATGAATATGAGCCTGGGCTCGTGTGGGATCTCTCTGTTTCATCTACAACATGGGGTAACAGCTGTGGGATGTGCCAAGTTCAGGGACAGCATGGGGTGATACTATTCTCCGGAACTGTGTGTGTTTCCTTGTCTTGTTACTATTTAGGCTGGCAGCTGTGGTTTGACGCTGCCCTTTCTCCACTCTGGAGCTTGGTCAGGCATGGCCCTGCTGTGGGTGTCAGCCTGCTTCCGCAGATGTTTGAGGGCACCGTGCCATGCTAGTTGTGCATAATATGAACTGAAGCCTGTAGATTCTTGGTGGGACCTCAGTCATACACTGTTCTTGCTCTAGCCTCTTATCTCTCGTTTGTCACCTATGGGCCTGTAGTTGGGTTTCAGCTGTGTGTTTACCCTCTCTCCAGATGGGCCTCAGGCTCAGAGAGGTTCAGCGTTCCCTTCAGGGTCCCAGGTAGGATCAGGTCCCTAGCCCCCAGCCTTCCAACAACCCACTGTTTCCTGCCTGCCTTTTGAACTAGAGTGATGCGTGCCCTGCAGTGTAACCTGGCAACAGGCTTCTGTGAACATTCATCCTCAGACCTAGGTACTGCTGAGGACCCCTTTGGGGTAGAACCCTGCCCATGTTACCTCGTGGCCCTGTGGCTCCTTGGCATGGTGTGTGAAGCAGAAATGTCCTGGGGTCCTTGCTGCATGGCAGTACCTGTACACTAGCTTTTATCCTGCTGGTAGCAGGAGAGGACTTGGCCTGCATGGTGCTGGCTGGGCAGGATGGCCTGCCTCCAAGCCCTGGGACGTAAGCTGCTACATAAGAGAAGTAACAGTTTATGTTGAGTTGGTTTTGTAGTTCAGCCATGTCACTTGAAAGTCTGCATTCTGTATCTTCACAGTCACTGTCAACAGTGACTTTATGAGTTCTGTGTGGTAGACATGCTCAGCCTCCTGAATCTTTCTGCATTCCTGCAGCAGCCGCAGTACCCTTTTCCCTTAGGTGCTGAAGGCCATGACCATAAATCTTTCCCAGAGCCCAGGCTGTGGACTGTGGGGCGGTATCTTTAGGAGACATGCTCATTTCTATAAAGTTGAAGCTCTTAGTGTGGCCTCTTGTCAGTCTTACCCAACTTTGCTGCTGTGAGGTTCTAGGTCTTTGCATGTCCTCTAGTTAGTGTCAGACCTGTGTTATAGGCAGTGTAGAAGCTTGAAGACTGAGGGACAGGGCTGCATTGGCCTGGGTGGCTCAAGGGAAAATCTGCCAGGCTCGGGGTGATGTTGTATGGGCTGGGGGTGTGGGTTTTGTAGCTCACAGGGAGGCATAGATAGTGGAGACCCAGAAAGATCTCTCCCTAGGCATTGCTGTCCCTGCTGTTAGTTCTGTGTGGCTGTGATGTTCTGCCTGCCACTGTCTCCAGTGGAGGTACACACAGGGCTACTTTGTCTGGAGACAAGTCTCCAGTGAAGCTTTCTGTAAGTTGCATGACCTCTGTGTCCTCTACCAGGCCCGGCCACACTACAGCATTGGGAAGATGTCCTGCTAAGAAGGGCAGGGAGGGGGGCTGCCCCTAATAAGCTGGAATATCACATATGAGCTATGTTCTTCCAGTGAGGATAGTGTTCCCAACTGGCGCTGAAATGGGCAGGTGTTCTCAGGTATCAAGACCTGCGGTCTCTGTTGTAACACACGCAGGCAGACAGACACACAGAGTTGACCAGCATTACTGAAAATGAGTCTTGGTGGCAAATCCATGCCTTTTATCATGGTTTCTATTCTGTGCCGCTCTGGTGTGTGTGATATAGGTCACATCTGGCTGTGACACTCTTATTTCTCCTGGACACCGCCCCTCCGTGCCATCCCATCGTCCTGCTGTGCTTTACCCATGCCTTTGGCAGTGCCTGGCCTGGAGCTTCATGGAGGCTGTCTGGCCTACCTTACTCCGTGTTGCCCTTACTTTTCAGCTCCATTCTTGCCAGGCGGCAGGAACTTCCACATTCTGCCTCCACCTGATCTGAGTGGCCAGATTCTGTCCTCTGGCCTCTGGAAGTGGGCAGGGACCAGCTCATAGGACAGCTTTGTCATCAGAGAGGGCTGCTTGGGAGTAGAGCTGGCCTTGTACCCCAGAGGGATCTGTGCCTAGAGTTGGAGGAGATTCCCTCTGTTGCTTCAGAATCCCTTCCCAGGGCACCTTTAAAGAGGATGGGGGATGGCTGAAGGGTAGGAGGGATCTGGTCCTAGCTGAGAAGTGCTGGCCATTCCCAGGATTTTTATTGGTTGGTAGTTTGAGACAGGGTCCCTGAGTCCCCACGGCCCAGATAGCTGCTGCTTTTGCTATTGCAGATCACACAGTGATCCATGCAAGGAACAAACACACTCCTTGCCACAGGTCTGTCAGAGCTTCCAGCATCCTGACTTCAGGTCCTTTCCTTCTGCAGTGGCACCTTGGCGCCCTCTGCTGGGAAAGTCTATCATGGCACCTACTAAGGGGAGAGCCGGGCCTGTGGCAGGCGCCTGGCACGGGAAGGACTGTGTGACTCAAGGGCATTGTTGCTGCTTTACTGACTGGTTCTGCATTGTCTGTGGTGTTCCTCAAGGCTGGGCATGTCCTTCCTGGAAGCCATCACTGAGCACGTGTGCTGGGAACTCCCAGAGAGAACTTGTGAAAACGTTTGTGAGCCTTCAGAAAGGAGCTGTCCCCCAAATACACTGGGTGCAGGGTCCTGAGGCCCCCACCTGCCTTGGATTGGTGGCCATGGTGGCCTTTCTGGATGAGCTTCCAGAGCCTGAGCTGACAAGTGGTCTTGTCTCTTGGTGGTGTTGGAGGGTGTCAAGGCCAGGCTCTGTCCTAGCCAGCCTGATGTCTAGCTAAACTGAGAGGTTGGCCCTGTGTGGGGTTCACGTGCTAAGAACAGGGACCAGGGCTTTGGCTGCTCAGTGACACGCTTCAGAGGTTGGCTTG